AAAAGTTTTATTAGTAGCATATTTTATTTTTTATAAAAATCACATTGTACCACAAAAATCATATGATAAATGATCTATGTATCCTAGAATAAAAAAAATTAGTATACTAATGGATAATTAGTTATAAAAGCAAAACTCAACAAGAAATTATTGAAATTCTTAATTTTTAAGTAGCGTTTTTTAAGAAAAATAAGAATTTAAAAAAATCTGATGATTTCTGTGTGGTGTATGATCATCGGGTGATCACAGTAATTTGAAAAGTGCAGTAAAGTCTGGGAAAATTTACAGTATATAAATTTTTTTACCCCAGTACTGATGATCCATAAGGAATAGTAGTTTTGCGGTTTCAAAGATATCTTTATTCAAAGTTTGAGAAAAATTTCTATTTTGATAGGCATTTTAATTTTGATGAAGGTATCTCGATAACTACTTAATCAAATTCGATGAAAATGTCTATTTAATTTCGATGAAAGCATAGAATTCAAATAAAAAAAAATTTCATTAAATTTGGTCAGATATTTGTCAGAATATCTGTGCTTAAAGTTTGAAAAAATTTGGAGCAACTTTATTTTGATAGGCGTTTTGATTTTTTAAAAAAATTTTAGGCAAAGATATCTCGGCAAATAATCTGATCGACATTGATGGAGTTTTTTCTTTTGAATTCTACAAATTTATAGAATTCAAATAAAAAAAATTTTCATCGAATTTTGTAAGATGTTTGTCAAGATATTTTCGCTTAAAGTTTTAAAATCAAACCCTTTTAAAATAAAAGTTGTGCAAATTTTTTTTCAAATTTTGGGTGATGATATCTCGACCAAACATGATGAATTTTTTTGTTTTTTTTTTGAATTCTATGAATTCATAGAATTTAAATAAAAAATTTTTCATCAAATGAGTAAGTAGTTATTGAGGTATCTTTGATCAAGTTTAAAAAATCAAACCACCTATCTAATGAAACCTTTTTATTTGAATTTTATGAATCCATAGTTTAAATAAAAAAATTTTTAATCTAATTATTAGGTGATTGTCGAGATATCTTTTATCAAAGTTCAAAACATTGTTAAAAGTAAAGCCACCGAAATTCACTGCGCCGAATTTGCCCTCACGTGACTTAGAAAAGACCTCGATCCAAAGCCAGCCTCAAGATCTCGTGGAAGTATCGGGATTATAACGGCAAAAACAGGCTGGGTCTGTGGCTGTGTTGAAATTGAGCTGCAAACAATCAAACAGGAGGAAACGTTGATGTTACACAACTAATTAATTATTTTACAATACTTTGATCGGTCAGCTAGTACATGTGATGATTATAATTCCACGCCATTTTTTATTATAAAAAAATGGTGTGAGATTATAATCATAACATGTACTAGCTGACTGATCATGTCCGACCAAAGTATTGTAAAATAATTTTTTTATGTGTTTCACACCGTGTGTAAAATCAGTTGTGTAACATCAACGTTTCCTCCTGAAAATGGCATGATATCACGTGAAGGGCTTAGGCGAGAACAATTTGATTCAGTGGTTTACGTTACCCCCTCTCCCCCCTTCAAAATACTTATTTTTTGCGAGTGGTACAAACCCAAAAAGGAAATCGCATTTGTAAATAAACTAAGAAAATTTAGTGATTAGGACGTTAGGGTTAGCGTTAGGGTTAGTGTTAGGGTTGTGAGCTTTAGTGATAATAGGAGTTTTTTATATGTAAAATTTCGTTCCTGTTATTTTTTATTAGTCCAACAAGGTCGATTTAAACACTAGTTTTTGAGTATTTTCTCTTTTTTGGTTTTTTTTTGTGTTTTTCTTAGCTTTGCTCACGTGTCGGGCTGATCCGGGATCATCACATTTTACATTCACCGATTGGCTAATTTCCCTTTTTGGATTTGTATCACTCGCACAAATAAGTACACGCTCCCGCCTTCCCCCTCACTATATACGCGGAAAATTTTGGAAATTTTTATAATATCGCGGATCATTTCGGAGAAAAAATTTATAATAAATTCCCTCCAGCCCCCTCCCCCCCCTCTTTTTTTGTGAGTAGGATGTAACGTAAACCACTGAATTAAATTGGTCTCGCCTTAGATTAAAAAGTCTTTTTCTCCCCAACCACATGAAAATTGTATAAAACCGTACTAGTTTTGCCTTCAAAAAAGATTTTTGCTTGTAAAAGACCTAAGTCGTTCTTTGGCCCCACGATGTACCTGATACGCCTTACCTTGCAATACCGCACTGCCTCTAACTATTAGGTATTTCGTGTGAGTATTATCTTTGTTGTTTAGATTTGATGGTGATTGGTAGAACCCGTAGCTTCATTCTGCCTCTATCAAATAAGTAGAGGCAAACTTTGTGCGAAGATATCTCGATAAACAACCAAATTCGGTCATATATTTTTTTTTTAATTGAATTTTTTTGTATTCATAGAAGTCAAATTGTAAAATCGTCGAATTTCGATCAAGTAGTCACCACGATTTCTTAATTCGAATTTTGAAATTTTTATTTTTTTGCTAGTTATGCAAATTTGTGCAATATAATCCTATTGCTCGATCATCCAAAAAGGAAATTTGTCAGTAAGGATAATCTGGTTCATAAAAGACAGTTCATGTATTTTAACTATTAATTTGTGGACTACAATAGATCCGGAGGACTCCTTTACGAGACTGTTTATATTATGAACGTATTTAAGAAGTTATTTTATTGCCTACTTTTAAAATTAAGTCTAAAGTAGTTACGGTTATATAACTTCATTCGTGAATTAAATTTAGGATTAGGTCAGATTTTGATAATGATTAGAAGGGAAATTATAGTTAAAATTACACCCAACTTCTTTATTTTTTATATGCTTAACAGTTATATATTACTAACTTTTATTTATTTGACTGATATAACCAATGTTTTTCACGACTAAATTTAGCATTATTCTCTAACCGAGAACAATAATTGTCTTCTAGAATGTGACATTTTTTTCTCTGCACAACTTTTGTTAGTTCTTTTTGAAGTAATCATTAAATTTTTAATATTTTTAAATGAAATATCGAGCATGTGAACAAGCTTATAATATTCTTATCAGGTCTGTCGTTTCTTATAGACTCCAATGTACCGTAAGTATCTAATAGAATCAGAAAGAAACGATTACAAATGGATCAGGATAGTAACTACAAGCTACGAAGTGAAAACTCTTCACTAAGAAAAATATGTGACCTCACAATTTCTTAAATAACTTTAACATTTGTTAAGAGTTCAACAGCAATATTAAATTTTGTTTTTTTTGTCTTCACATTCGACTCTACATTGGGATGAAATTTCAATTTAGGATCTATATTAGGGATGTGGTCCTGCTCATATAAACTCTGTTCGCCTCTTTCGAAACCCGAACCAGTTAAACACGATCACGTAAATTTAATTATGTAAAGTGAAATTCTGCTCGAATCGAGTTCAAAATCGATTTTGCAAACATAAAACTTTGTGATCTGTAATTTTTAAATTTTAATTAAACAGCATGACTTTTTTGAATTAAATATGATTTTAAAATTTTAATAAAGTAAAATAATACGTAGCAATAAAAATATATTAAATTAAATATATATCTTTTGATTATATGTAAATGGCTTTATTTTTTTAAATAAAAGTTTTTTTGATTGCGCTTTTCTTTATTTTCTTCAATTATTTCAAATTTATATAATGGACGAAGAAATGTCATTTTGAACAACCTAATTTAACTGAACCTACCTTCATATCAAACTCAATATCTCAAAATAAATTTCGACTAAACTCGATACAATCGACTGCCAGAAAAAAACATTTGTCTAATGACGTGGTTTGATTCGGTTATTATTAATTGTATGGAGGGTCATAAGTAAATGAATTATAAATGCAATACTATTACTGTATGAATGCAATATGTGAATGTTGAATGTTGATGTATGTAATAGCATAAATATATATTATGCAAATGCACAAATTTGAATTTATGTATGTATTTTAATAAAAGTGTAACGGGTATAATAAACTAACATGTTCGCGCAAACATAATTAATATTCATGTGCATAACTGGTTTTAAAACAGAGTTGAAACCCAATTTTTGTAAGTGTTTCGGAATAGTGTTTGTTCGGGTTTCGGAGCACGAACTAACTAGTCTAGCAGAATCACATCCCTAATCTATTAATGCTACCGCCGCCACCACCATCATTATCATCTCTGCCACTTCCTCCTTTCCAGAGCTTTTTACATTCCTCTATTCTCTTATAAATTTTCAGATACAATGTACTATTTGGAATGTTACTCCTAACCTAATCTCTAAACACTAACCCTAAACATATCCACCACTAACGTTATCACTCCCATTTGATGGTTCGTTCGGCCCTTTCTTATGATCTTCGTAGCTATCATTTATGTTTATATCCCTTATAAAATGATATATTACTTCATATTCATCATTAAAAAAAGCCAAATATCTTCCATAATTGATGTATTAGTCTTTCTGAAGATAGGGGTCCACAGCATATACATTCTGTGAATTAAGCATATGACTAATAACGTTGTCTTGTGCATTAAGTTGTGTGAACATTCTTTCAATTTTGGCGTATTCAGTTGTTGAAGGTTTTCTATAATAGTTGAACGCACTGACATGATATTATTCGAATTTCCACCGAAAGATCATTAATGCCTGGTCTAATTAATGTGAGTGAAATGATTGAGAATTTAGTTAAATGCTTGATATATTCAAAATACATATTTGTAATTGCAATTATCTGACTTTTTAATTTAATAGTCAATTTAAAATTATTTTGACGATATAATGTAATATATTCAAACAAAGGATGTTAAAATGTCGACGAGTAGTATTTTTTGCTATAAAGACTATGGTAACTAATATATAAATATATAGACTCACTTGTTGGCAGTTTCATTTTCATTAGGATCCGTAATCAAATTTTCGAGTTAATTGCACAAGTAGATTCGTCTTGATTAATTTTAAGAGGTGATAAGTCTTTAGAAGATGGATTGCAGGGACTCTAGTGATCAATTTGTATAACTTGTTCTGTGATAAATTCTATAGTTTCTGTTGATGATTCATATATTGAATACGTATTTGTTGTTCGTATAATCATTGTTCGTTACATTATAATTATTACCATTAATAACTTTTTTTTTTTAGTAACCTAGGAAATATATGTACATAAATAAAATATAAATAAAATTCCTATATTATGTTGAACATTGCTAAGGGAAAATAATCATACGGTTTAAGTAAAAAAAATAAAAATAAAATAAAATAAAAAACGGGTGACATAGTACAATATCATGTGTGATTGCAGAAAATTTTGTATAATATATTCCGTTAGAACCTTGTAATAAACAAACTTTGATACACAGTAGCAAAATAATATAATATAAATCTCTAAAAAAATTTCCGACTTGACATTTTACTACCGCTTTTCAAACCTTTTCCACCTTGGATGCTACAAACATATTACCTTTGTTCTTTGTCTTTTAAAGCTTGGCAGCCTTTATGATTTTGATTAACTAAATTAGAATACGAAATATCTAGAAATTATAAATTTATTAGAAATTTAACTGTTAAAAAATAAAATAAGACAATAAATAATAAAAAATAATATATAAAAATAAAATACTAACCTTAAATGCCACAAACATATTACCTTTGCACTTTATTGTTTATAGCTTGGAGGAAAACAGGATTTTTTTTAGCTAACTCGGCAAAAATACCAGCAACAACATCTAGGAATTAAAATTTTATTGAATTTAATAGGCAACAAAAAAAAAAAAATCCAAAATTAAATAAAAAAAAATAAAGAAAAAAAAATGCTAACCGACGTCATTGTCAGCTAATTTGGTAAGCCTCGCTGTTAAACTTTCAATCTCTGATTCCTGGTCAGAAGAATCCAATTCCTTTAAATTAATAACATATTATTAGGGATGCGTTATATATTTTTATTTTCCGGAGCGTAGCGAATCTATTCTGTGGTCTGCGAGTTCAGAGGTGGCACATGATCAGCTACATTCCGGACATCAACCTTTTACAATTGAAACAAATAAAGAAATACCTCATTTGACTCTACAGACGAATCAAAGATCAAATTATTTTTAAAAATAAAAGTATGAAAGTACTTTCATATATAATACTAAGAAGTTTTAATATAACCTTGTGCATCTTCCTGTAATTTTAAAGCACAATTGTTAATAATAACATTGTATATACAAATAAATAAACATTATACGTATTAACAAAAGGAAATACCTCATTAGATTCTAATTTATCATTTAATGGGTTGAGAACGGCAATAAAAATTTTTAAAGATTACAAAATTATATTATTAATAATATAAATATAACCTTGATCATCTCCCTTTAGTTTTTTTTTCAAAGTATACCTGTTAATAATAATAAATAATAATGATGCAATAAATGTGTATAAATTAAAATAGGATATACCTCACTCTCACTAGATTCTACTGCGTCATCTAATTAGAGTTGGAAATGCATTAGAGTTTTTAAACAAACCGAATAAACACAAAATTATTTTATCAATAATAACCTTGATCTTCCTTCAATGTTTCAGAGTTACTTGTTAATGATAATAAGGATGCATTCAATATTGTATAAGTCAAAAATAGTATATACCTCTGTTTCATCATCTAGTTAGTGTTGAAATGAAATTTAGCTTTTCTAAGCAAAGAAGCAAATAAAAAATCATTTATCAATATTATAACCTTGTTCATCCTTTTAATTTTGCAAAGTAGATATGTTAATAATAAGCGTTATACTAATAAAAATATATTGATTATTATATAAATTGAAAATAGGATATACCTCACTGGATTCTATATCATTCACTAATTAAAATTTATATTGCATTTAAATTATTTAAGTAGATAAATGTAAATATAATCATAAAAAAAAAAAAAAAACTAACCTGTAAGATGACTAGTATCTTCTACCATTTTTTGAACAACTTCCTTTGATCCAGAGTAAATGCGTTTAACAGTAAAGGAAATGCGTTTAACGGTAAAATTGACGTATTGAGTATTCTATAAAGCAAAAATAAAACGTACATCTGCACCATAGAATAATTAGATTTAAATGTGATTAAGGTATTTAAATAAAGTGTAGAAATGTTAAATAAATATTAACCAATATCTATGTGCTTACCTGTAATCGCCTTTGATTCCTTTAATCATGGTGCATTTAATAGTAAAGGTGTAAGAGATATGCTAGATAATTTATAATGCGAAAATAAAGTATACCTCTACATCATAGAATAATTATATATTTAATATATTATATTTAGATTATTTAAACAAATATACAGTCGTATCTGGGTTATTCACCCCCTTTTTTCTATATGCTTTTAATTTTTTTTTTTTGACATAAAAGTAAGATTGGAATATAAACATATAAAACATATAAAAAAGAAAAATAAGAAAAATTATCCTGCCCAAATATTGGGATATAACTAAGGCAACAAATAAGAGGGATATAACCCAGGCGCAACTGTATAAGCAATAAAATAATATTAACCAGGGTCTATTTTCTCTCCTTCAATCATCTCTTTTTCAATTATTGATTTATAAACGTCTTTGATCTCGGGACGTTTTGTAGGTTCACAGTCCCAACACTTTTTATAAAGCTCAACATAGAGATGAGTAGATTCAGGTACCGGTTTTTCTCGTAAACCTTCCACTAATAGCAGTATGGACTGAATATTACTGAGGTTCTCGAAATGTCTTTGAAACGGTTTTCTTCCATTGCTTGAAATCTCCCACATCACTACACCAAGGCTATAAATATCGGACTGTTTATTTGGTTTTTCAACTTTTTTGTTAAAAAGTGTAGGGTCTATAAGTATTTGCCCTATAAAATCCTGCGAGATACTAGTAGAATTAATGGACTTAGAAGCTCCGAAGTCGGTAATAATAACCCTAATGCCACTGTTATGGGATTTTATGACGACATTTTTCGTATGCTACTAATAGATTTATAAATTATCTGCTAAACTTAATATTTACTATTAATAAAAGATAACTTACTAAATCACGATGTACAATATCACTTTCATGCAAAAAATATAGGCCACACGTTAACTGTCTTGCTATATCTATTTTTTCATTCCAGTCCAAAATTTTATTTTTATCCAAATATACTCGTAAATTACCAAGTTCTGCGAATTCTAACACGAGATAATAAAACTCTATAATAAAGAAATATTATCAGCGGGAGTCACGTGCAAATTGCATGAAAAGTTGATCTACCGACACGACATTCACATGATTTCCTAACGGCACAGCAAAAGCCTCAATGCCGTTTATTGCTATGCCGATAAGAAAGATAAGTCACGTGCATACTATGTCAGTAAATTGTTCCAATATATATAATTTTTACTTGTCTCACTAAAGGATGAAAGATCCTTAATGGATGATTTAATCTTCTTTAGAGATAAACGGCTTTTTTTCTTAGTTTCATTGCATGATAAAATTTCCTTCTTAGTCTTACTAAAAATGCAGTAAACTATCTAAATCAAATCTAATAACGGTAGAACAAATGTTGAATGAAGTAGATAATCATACATTATACCAAAACATTGAATAATATTTTCATAACCTATTTTATTTTCCCTCAAAGGTACGGATTTAATAGAACAAAAGGCTTTAATCTGTTTAAATAAAACAAAATTTAATGAAGGCAAAAATCATTCACTGTGCCAAAACGGCCTAAAAGAATTAACCAATTGAGCTTGCCTCTTTAAGGAGAACTTTATGCTCTTGTTCCGGTCTGTCTGGGTAGGGCGGCATATATTTCAAGGCAACATTATTATTATTCCATTCAGCTTTATAAACCACACCATAACCTCCTAACATAAGAAGCTCCACTTCTTTGACTTTCGACCGTTTGATTGAATCTATTTCCTTTGCTTTAATTTTTTTTTTAATCCAAGCAATTCTTTCCTTGGGAGATTGCCCTCTTCTTTTCACGAGTGATTGGCCACTTCTTTTCTCGGGTAATTGACCATTTTCTTCCCTAAGAGATAGTTTGCTGTTCATAATTGACATACGTACGTAAGAGAAAGTCTTTTATATTCGCATAAATTTTTTACAGAGCGGTTTTTGATGCCGAATTTATATTTAATTTGCTATCTTAGTTTCTACCGATTCTTTAAATAATCCTAAGACATTCAGAAATAAGTTAAATTAGTTAATTGTAATTTTTTTATATTATTAGTATATTTAACGCCAAATTGCCTATTACAGTATTATATTATTCTATATAGGTTATAGGTGATATACAGTATAATGTGATTTGTCGAAATATCACAATTTTGTAATCACATGAAAAATTTGTACTGATAGCGCTTATCTGTTAAGTAGTGGCTTAAATTGCAGAATTGATTATCATTACGATCACTGCCTCAATGACATTATTTTTAATTCCTTTTTTATGAAACGGGTAATTCTTAACTTATGACGTCTTTGATTATTTTTTTATTTTTTATTTTTTTTTTTGTAATTCACTTAACTACTAATTCTATTCACAGAGCACAGGCAAAATACTATAACATGGCAAAGTATTTCTCTTGTACTTATCAAAAGCTTGAAAAAAAAGAGATATCGTAATACTTTCTCAACATATTTACTATAAAATCTAATGCGTGTATCCGTTAACCTATTAGAAGCCAATATACATCAATATTTTAGCATTGATTTTTATATCAAAGATAATAATTAATTTGCATTGTAACTCAAGTTCCCAAAGCCATTTTCCGAAAGAACATAAATCTTAGCGTTTCGCTAATCGGATCAAGATCTGCCTAATCCAGACTCACTCAATAACGATAAAAACGACTTAGTCAACTAATTTTTTAAAAAATCGACTTAGCCGAATCGAGAACTATGAATACCAACTCATACAGAAAGATCTCGAAATTTCCGGATCGGAGTACATCAAAAATATTACAGCCATTCATTAGGCAAAAAATGATAATTTTGATATAGACCGTGCTAACTATTGCTAAATGCTGGCCTTGGTCTGACACATTCCGACCCGGAAATTTAGGGATCCTCCTGTAAAAAATATAAATGATTACAGCTATTTTCATTATTTTTGAGACATTTGAAAATTTTTTGACGGCCGAATAGATAAATTATTCATGTCGGCCGACATCAAAAACTTATCTATTCGGCCATCAACAATTTTTCAATTGTCCTAAAAATAATGAAAACAGTTGTAATATACCACGTCATACGTACGAGTAAACGACATAACTTAGGCTGTTCTCAGCATCTAGATCAATTGATCAGATAATAATCGTGATGACGCTCAAGCATCACAATTGGTGACGATATTTATAGGATTAAATGCTTGAGCATACTTTTTCTGTTTTTTTCATAATGTTGCTATACTGCCTAAAAAACCTAATGAAAAAAATTCTTTTCGATCAACCGTTAAAGTTTCAACTTTAGTTACGCCGGCTCCTCCTTTTAATGATTTTAACAATTTAAATTTCTTTATTATCCGTCAAATATGGAAAAACATCGGTCTTTTTACTGAGAAGGATTAAATTTAAATGAGTGAAAAAAAATGGAATAACAATATTCATTATGATCTTGTTAAACGTTAAAAGATTTTTGTATTTATTACGCTCATATTAATGTATCGATTGTTTGTTTAAAAGCTTCGAACATTAAAAATAAAGCGGCTATCTTTTTAGTGTTGAGAATTAATTGTTTATTATGTTTAATATGTAAAAAATGTAAAAGTAATGCTTGATTGACATTTATCAAGGTAAATTTTTGAAGAAAAAAGGTGGGTTGTGTCTCGCTGATTTGTTCATCGAAATGAGTAACTCACTTGGTTAATTTATTTAATCTCCGACTAATTAAAATTTTACTTTCGATCCATTGAGTAAAATGCTTGGTATGGTTAGTTTGTACGAAAATTTATGGAAGAACACTCTTGTCAACCAATAAACCTTAACAAGAAAAAACTCCCAGCGCATGAGCAGGCGTAAAGCTTGTTGGTAAAATAACTACCTGCCGAGGTGCTTATAAAAATCTCTAATTATGGAAGGTGCTTAACGTTAATACATAAAATATCATATTTTGTTATAAAATTAATGCTTATATAAAATCCATAACATTGCATTCTTATTTCATAAAAAAAAAATTTCGATTCTACCACATGCCTACGACTTCAGTTTTGCCAAATTAAAATTATCTTTCGGTTCTCGAATTTTAATTTATCAATTTGAAATAAGTTTATAAAATAACAACCAAAGTATTAAACATGTAAAATAAAATTGTTGTAAAAAATATCTACTGCAGATAACGGACAGTATTGCCAATTATTTATTCAATATGGTTATTACGACCACAACAGAATAATAGTTTGCAAAAACGATTCTTTTTGGAAAATTTCTTTTCATCGAGGGGAGCATGTATATTCGAACTATTTTTAAAAGAAGACAATATTAACAAATGCAAATTATAAAATGGAGAAATAACCAATAAATATTACCTATTCTGATTTAATGTGTTTACGGGAACTTCGTTATTCTGAACGATCGCATTTGTTACATCTGGATTATTTGAAATGACATTGGCTTTATTCAATAAACGTATCACTTTCATTTATATTTCGGAACTTAACAATAATTGCAATATATTTGTCGCCGCAATACTACATATCAAAATAGTTGTCACGGCTTAAGCTGGAAATTAAGAAAACCATATCGGCGGATTTGTAACTCTGGTCAAATTTGCAGATCGTTTGGCCTGGTTTGAAATTATTTGACTTCAAAGCTGGCCAAATGATCTGCAAATTTGACCAGCGATACGGCTCATGGGTTTTCTCAAATATACCTTTCTATTATCAAAACTAATCATAAATCCTGACCTAACTGTTAAATGTATGCATTCCAAAATTTTTTAAAATTTCCAGCTTCAGCTGCGACAATAATTTACTATAATCATGATCAAAATGGTAAATTTTGTGACATTAACCATTTTTTTCAAATGACCAGGTTATCTGGTATATGAATCTGATATTAAATTATCACGTGATTAGAACATTTCGAAGCTCATTTGTCGTATTTGCGCGCGGGGTGTAATTTCGAATTTCGGCCTAAATTAAGCTTAATTCGGGCCGTGACTCAAAATAACACCCCGGCCCGCCCGCTATTATGCACAAATACGATACTAACCCTTTTTAATCATGTAAGGTTTAGAAATATCGTTTTATTATAAATCTTTAAAATGTCCTTTTTAATATATATATAAGTTGCCGGACTGCAAAAATATCCAATATTTTTTCAAAAGTGCGGTCAATGTTTATATAATTCATTTGATGGTCAATAAATAATATAGATATTTTTCATTTTCAAATATATATAAACTTTAAAATGTTTATAACTCACAGAATTGTAGTTTATAAAAGCAACAAATCTGTAAGTTAAGATTATTTGTGTTGAGTGCTTAACACTTTATATACTTTGTATATAAATATTGGATGCCCGGTACTATACATACCGGCTGGGGAAAAGTTCTTGAACAGAATCTTATTTGAGTATTACGTTAACATTAAAAGCATTTTAATAAAAAAAGTCTTGTCTAAGGACTTTTCGCCCATTCGAGCATATAGATCAATAAAAAAAAAACTTTTAAAATAATAAAAAAGATCCTGTTCAGTAACTTTTCACCCACCTGGCATATTTTTAAGCGATTTAAAAATTGTTGCAAAACATAAATCATTAAAATACCATAATTACTATTTAATTTTTTTGCAAATTAGAACATTTTAAAGATCTGTAACAAATTACCGTTGACCAAAAAAAAAATTACAGCGGCGATAAATAAACTCGTACATAGTATAAATTATCTCACCATCTACATTTCGAGTTTCTTTTTGTAGGATTGCTTCAAGTTGAGTATACACGTCTTGTGCTGATGGCCGTTCTTCTGGATTTAATTTCCAGCATCTTAGATACAAATCAAGATATTCTTGCGGAATACCATTGACAGGATTTTCACGGATGTCCTCTGTTACTATTTGATTTATTAAATCTGTTTGATTTGTAATATTTTCAAATGGCAATTTTCCACTTGAAATAGACCACATAACAACTCCAAAGCTGTAAATGTCGGATGCTGTTGTAGGTTTTGAATTTAAATCAATTAAGTGCATCGGGTCTGTAAACGCTATCATCCCTGCTTGCAATGATATAGATGATGAAACATCAATGTTTAATTCCAAAAATGCTGGATTAGATATTAGAACCTTTCCTTTATTTATATTTATAAAGATCGATTTTGTATTCTAAGTGTAGAGGAAAATATTTAACTTTTTGATAACGTGCATTGCTAAAAAAAAAAAAAAGCTCACCAAATTTCTATGAATCATTCCTAAATTATGCAAAAATTCCAAACCGAATGCTATATCTTTTGAAATCTTTATTTTCTGAATCCTGTCCAGGTCTTGATTTTCAGATAAGTAATTATGTAGACTTCCATTTTCAGTATACTCTAATACTGCAAAGAAATTTTTTGTTTCCAAATCTTAAAGAAAGAAAAAAGAAGTTTGTGAGTGAATTTGTATCAATATAATGTTGGTCAATTCAAAGAAATTGACGAAATTTTCTTCATTATCCACATTTCATTAAGATTTAATGAATTATTATCTTAAAGCCGTCAATATTCTCAGAACTGACCAATATTCAATTAAACATGGAGCATTGTTCTCATACTACTTCATTTGATAAATAGTTTGGGTTGTGAGAAGTGTAGAAAATAGCACAGTAAAATTCCATCCGGTGCGCTAATTCGGATGGTAGGTAATTGATGACGCCCAGTCGTGGAGTTCTCGAGGGTAATTAGTTACTGTTCAAGGACACTCTGAAAAATTTTGCAAAGCAAATCAAATTTTGAGATCAGGTATAACGTAGCTTTTTTTTTTGAAATCGTTCTTCGTATTTTAATAAAAAAAATCCCTCATCAGATTTTGGTGTATTTAATGCCCTAGTCAAACTTTAATGCTACTCTAATATTAAAGTTTTAGTTTTTGCTTAATCGACTGTTTTGATTACACGTTACACCTGATATCGAAATCTGATTGGCCGAAGGTGCGGAATTTTTCGAAATGTCCTTAGGGTAGTTTGAACTCTAGGCTTATCCTGTGACCTATGATCAGCTCATAAATAGATTCTAAATTAATTAATGGCCCAATATTGCTCAGTAAAGTACAAAATTTCTTTAAGCAGTGCAAAAGTCATTGCGTCAAATAATTAAGTTCACATAAATTATTTAAGCTCAAATACCATTTAAATTCAAATATATCAATTATTCAATGCAAACATACCATAAAGTAGCAAAATAACGCACACGAACATAATTTTCATAAATTGCACCTCTTAAAAACGGTACAAGAGTGCTTGAGAGGGAAATTCGTAAGTAAAATTTTATCCCCTGAAGAATTGTGTTATTATGTAATTAACCGGTATTACGACATATCAATAAATTTCCGATGGCCAGAACGCTGATCGTATATGTTATTAATTATGTAATAATACAATTCTTAAGGGATAAATTTTTACTTACAGATTTTCCCTCTCAAGCGCTTATAGGCGCGTCCTGAAACAATGCCCACGCTGTGTAACATGTATTAGTCTATTTTGTTATATGTACATTAGGTTCAAATTTAATCCTTAGTTACAAAATAACGTTTCGGAATAACGCATAGGGGTACGTCATTTTACAACTATGATAATATTTTGTTCATCAGTTTGTCAATTCCAATTAATTAAGCATTTTTACCTACGAATAGGGATGGTAGAAATTAATTTTTATTGATTTAAATTAGGTGACATTAGAAAAGGACGGTGATTTTCTGCAATGATATTTATTTATTTTAAAAATCAATAAATATTACCGCAGAAAATCACCGTCCCTGGATCTAGATGTGGTTATGCAAGGTTAGACATATTACAAAAGTCACATGATTTTAAATCAGTTTTCTACCATCCCTACCTCCGACGACGTCTTAGAAATTATTGGAGAGCTCCTTGTTTCTAGCTATTAAGAAATTTTGTACATAGATTTTGTAAATTTAATTTTCTAAATTTTCGATAAAAATTTTTTAAATAAATTTGAGTAAAAAATTTTCATCAAAACTGGTCGCGTGATTACCTAGAAATTTGAGCAGTAGAATCCAATAATGTATTTGAACGAATGCTCATCTCGAATAAACAGAAAATATGTCATTATTACCTATGGATATACCCAAGAATTGTAAAATGTTCGGGTGCTTGATTATAGATGATCTATGTAACTATAATATAAAATAATATAAGTTAATGAGCGTTAGAATAAATAGTCATTTGTTATTTTGTACATACGAGTTGTTTTAGCATTTCATTATTAAGATTTCCTGATTCATTAGAAATATGCTTCATAATTACTACGTGACTGTTCAAAGAGCCTTTCATTGTAATTCCATAGTTTATAATTTTTATTAGTTCAGTATTTTTGATTTCTGAATAGCTGATTGAGTTTATATTGTCAATTTCTAATGGTTTGATAAACTCAGCATCTTCTATACTAAATGTGTTCTCCATCCATGAATTTATTTATACTGTCAACACAGCGAGCTGACAGTTCTTATAGTGAAATTAGTTTTCACACCGTAAAAGTCACTCTTGTTATTGTGAACCCCGATAGAGTGGAGGCTAATTAAAATTTCAGTAAAGTGTACTTAGATTGCAAACAGTCTGGATAAAATCCTTCGATATAATGATTTGCTATATAAAGAGGTGAAATAATTAAAATGAGAAATATATGGTTAGTTTTTTTTTCGGATTTTTTTTAATTAGTTTAGTACAATCTCCCCTTTAGGGGTAAAGGTTGCACAATTAGAGAATTCTGAAAGAGACAATTCAATAATGTAAATATAATAGTGCGTATATAAAAAAGAGGGCACGAATTCTTATTATTAGAAAAATTATGACAAAATCTCTTTTTTTGCACATCTATATAGAATTTAAACGTTCTTATGCATGAAAAAAAATCTGCAACTATCATTGACACGGTTGAATAAATTACCTCCTAAGGTTTTCGAAAGCTATATTCAAGCACAATCAAAGATGCACACCACTCATAACTCACGAGCAAATTTCTATTCCTTTCTATATTTCCAATGGATCTTTTGTTTTAATATCTTCTATTGTCCGCTATAATTACAATACGACATTCGCTTAGTGAAGGGTTTTTACATTACTCTTTCCCATTCCTTCACTCCAAGAGATGCATTAGAAAATGAGATAACTTTTTCCTTAAACTAACGCACATTGTAACGTGGTATTACTTAAAATACAAACATAATTATATTATATCATAACTTGTATACATAATCTCAAATGATTCGAGATAGTGTTACTGTATGCACCCAATTTTGCGTACATAATTGTAATACTGATTGACTTGTATAAGAAACTGTTTAATAAATTGTTTGCATAAATTCTTGTTAAAAGCATTTTAAATAAAACAAATTTATTGTACACGCTCTATAAGAATGTATTCGCTCTGTCTTAAAATAAAACAACGTGTTTTTTAATCACTCTTATAAAGTTAATGGTAATTTAAAACTCATGATTTCTTTAGCCCACATAATTTAAGGTATGGCGGGAAATTTTTTTATGTTTACGATTTACGAGCGCGGATTATTTAAAAGATTTTTTTACTATATATATATATTCCTTTTTCAAGGCAATAATAACACTTGCCTAACATTATTTAAATTGGACATAACTAAGGACTGTGTAACGATGCACAATTAAATAAATGAAAACGGTTAACCGTGAAAAGGCGATAATATAAAGTTATTGGATGCGAAGCAGCCAACAACGAAAATTATTTGTAAAATAATTAATTAGGAGTTATTGGCTAGTGTAGCATACAATAACGGGTTTATCCGGTGGTTTACGACGATTGTGCTTCTAAATGACTCGGGTTTTGGCATAAACTGCCAAATAACGAAGTTATTTGGCAGATGACGTATCACTGCCAAATAACTCGAGTTATTTGGCAGATGACGTATCACTGCCAAATAACTCGAGTTATTTTGGCAGAGTAAGCTGCCGGATAATAATATGTTTTTATCTTTGTCCATTTTTATGCCCAACCCCATAGATGCAATTTTATTACTACAAGCCGCATATAGGGGTTTAACCGTAAATGACCAGATACAAGACCCGGGTCTGTTGCATTTCATCATTTTTAAACCCTTTAGACCCGGGTATAGTACACAACTGAGAGTTTATATCGTATAGAGTAAAAATTTGAAATGCGTATACACTTTACGTTTATAGCAGGCAGATTTTTAAAAGAACACATTTAATTAAAGAAGATCTAGGGGATCTTGTATCCGGCCATTTACAGTACTCTACTCTGCATTTTGCGCCTTCATAGATAATTTTCTAACAATCTCCGCCGTCCTTAATTTCCTTAGCAATGTCACAGATGCTAATACTTGCTTCTAATTAGTCAATTTCTTACAATTGAATCTATCCAGTTTAATTCACAGGTGAAGAATGAAAATTAAGGTTATCTCTAATTTTGAAAAATGCCACCGTTAACTATGCAAAAAGAATCAATGAATCAAAAATCTCGAACACTTACTTCGATATGACATTTTTTACTGCATATTATAATCATTAATCTATATGTATTGCAATACGTTACAAACTTTGTTTCATTACGATAACTAAAAAGAACTTTAATAAATATGATAAATTTAAAATATGAAAAACATTTAATACATGAAAATAAAGTTATTTGGAGATAAAATCGTTGATAACTTTTAGAAATCAAAATTATTACGATTGTTACTTTGCAATAAACATTTTATTCATAATAACTAAATGTACACAATATTCGAAGCCTCTGGCAGGGTTGTAAATTGTAAATTGCCATCAGCAAGAATTGACATAGGTTACCTAAGCCTTTTTGGAATAAATTCTTTGTTGATCCATACAAAAAGGGTAGAGTACATCGGAAGATTTCGGATTGTAAACAGTACAACAAACATTGGATGTACAACATCAGTCTAAATAAATACGTATAATGATGATCACAAACTGCAGATCAACGATAATGTAATAGTAAAAACATAGAAAGCTCAAGCTCTTGAACTAGCAAACCCACGCAATTATAATTATATTTGTCGGGTCCATTATAATGTGCTCTTTAATGTGACAACGCTCTTTTTTTTTATTTTCATTGTTTAGAGCGTCAGGGAATAATATAATACCAAAATTCTCGTTTTTGATTAATTATTAACAAAAACATCAAAAATGTAACTTTAAATTTCTGTGCATGTTGTCTGGAGGTGCAGGTGAATCGTCCCAATGATGCCGTAACTTTGCCGTAACGTGCCGTAACTATATTAAATAATTATAAAATGTTACGGCATGTTTGCCGTAACTTTTTATAATTATTTAATATAGTTACGGCACGTTACGGCAAAGTTACGGCATCATTGGGACGATTCACCTGCACCTTTAATGTTGTGACACGTATGCAATAGCTACGGTTTGATTTTTTTACACTCAAGACAATAAAAGTAAAAAAAAAAAAAAAAAGAACATTGTCACGTTACAATGAACCCGGCAAACATAATCTTATTTGTGTGGGCTTGCTGGTTCAAGAGTTATTGCAGCTTGAACTTTCTATGTTTTTACTATTAAATTATCGTTGATCTGCAGTTCACTATGATCATGAAAAGTGATCATCATTATATATATAACCTGCACTATTGGACTGATGTTGTACACCCTAAACAAACATGGATAAAACGCTAAATTATTTTGCATTTAAGGCAGTGATGCGGATGTAAATCGATTACCCGGATATAAAAATTAAGGAGGTACTATAATCATAATGGGACTATACTAAGTGAACTATAATAGGGGCATTTTTCTATTTTTTAACAGCTGCCTACCTTCAGGGTGTGTCAGGGTGCATTAGTATGACTCGGATATAGATGAAGATAATATCTTTCAGCGTTGCCAATACATAGTAAAATTTCTATTATAGAACATAAATAGAAATTTTACTTTGTGTTCGTAAAGCAGGAGGATGCTCTTCTCATACAAATCTGGGCTATCCCAACTACGTACAGTACTATATGTACAGTACTGTATGTACTGTATGTACTGTATGCTAAACTTTTTACTAATCATTTATTAAGAGGGACCCGATGATATGCAAATTGACCAATCATATTTGTTAATTTGATTAACACAAAAATCAGATACGTATTCCGTCAGTTAAATTAAATATGCTAAGGTTTTTTTCTTAATATACATATATGATTAAATATTTATATAAATTATGTATTTTATATTTTATAAATATATACAGATATAAAATTATAAATATTATTAAATAAAAAAATTTAAATTAATTCGTGATCCGTCTGGCAACCAGTGAAAACTGCGGGGATATTTTTACTATGTAATTTTGTCTTTTTTGGAATCTGGCGTTTCCCATAAGCAAACCTCTCTTGTGCGCATAACAAATGTCGTAGAGGAGGAAATTACGAGCATAATGGTAGCTGAAACATCGAAATCGGCCTAGTGAATCGTGAGATATGCATTTTCGTCTTTATGACTATCTGTTTACTTATTTGTTAACATAATATAGTCGTGAGGACAAATACGCCTATATATCACGACTTACTTGGCTGATTTTAGTATTTCACCTACCATTATGCTCGTATTTTTCTTCTACACCGGTTATTATGCACATAAGAGAGGTTTTTTTTAGTACGAAATCGATTATCCTTGGGGAAACGCTAGATTCTGAAAAAGGCGAAATTTAAATAAAATCACCGAAATTCACATGAGTTTTCATTGGTTCTAAAATAATTTAAATAAATTAATATTTAATTAAATATTAATACAATAAACTGCATTTATTAATATATTACTAATTTGATGTAATAAATATTTATTTGTTAAAATAGATTAAATATTATATCAATTGTAATATAGACTAATATTAAAATAAATTTAAAATATAACTACTAAAGCAACTTTATTATATAAGTACTATACGTACTGTGCGCTAAAAAAATTTGGACATCATATAAATGGCACATCACTAATCCCGACACACTTAAACGCGGTAGGACAGTTATTAAAAAACGAAAAAACCTCTGATTAGAACCATACCATTATTTAAATAAGTACTTATTAAAAAAAGGGCGGGTGGATCACATGGCATAACGCTTTTCATTATGGTCAGGGTCATCTTAATGCTTCAAGGTGGGTTTAAACTACCGCCGTTTTGTGTATTTTTCTCTATTTTACTCTATTTTTTTTTTATTTTTTTTTTATTTTTTTTTTTATTATTTTTTTATTTTATTATTTTATTTTATTATTTATTTTTTTTTTATTTTTTTTTACTTGCTCTGCCTCGTCGGGGGCTGATCCCGTTGAGAAACCCGAAATCTGTCGGTCAATCGCTTGAACGAAAGAGGGTCGTGTAACCAAAATTAGGTTACAATGTGTCGAAAAGGCGTGTTAGATTTAGCGAGTGATTAATGAACGAATGTGGT